TACTATAAAAATATATTTCGTGACGAATCTAACAATATCAGCTTATACAGTAGGATAAATATTAATAACGTTTACAAATTTAGCTAATTTTAACAAACTTTAATATAATACTGTTTTTTAGAATTAAATGCTTTTTAGGATGGAGGAAATGCCCTTTAGCTGGGGATCAACAGGTCTGGACTCCTGTCCGTGGAAAATGTTTTGGAGCTGTTTTTCTATTACTCCGTACTCTTCCTACTTGCGCTTGCGCACGGCACAAGCCCCGAGAGTGCGAGTAGGCAAAGCCCCAAAAAGCATTTAATTCCGGCAAGGTGCAGCAGACCTACTCCTCCTACTCCTGGCAGGAGTGTGTCTATCCAATCCCAAGGCCCCGGGACACGACGGCACAGCCACGGCGCAAGCAGGGAGCCAGGCAGGGAGGAATTCCGGCCGCTCCGGTCCGGCGGTTTCCAGTCTCCACCCCTCGCTTCTCGCGCCAAATAAATCAAGGCAAAACAAACGGTCTTCACGACTGCCGCACGCATGCACCACCAGTTCCTACTACCCCAACGTGCCTTCGATTTAAGCCTAGGTCATATTTAGTTCCACCGAAATTTAAAATTTAGCATTATATAAAAAGAAGATTATTCATCGCATCAAATTTACGGTATATGTATGGAGTACTAAATGTAGATGAAATCAAAAACTATTTACACAGTTTGGTTGAACTTTGCGAGACGAATCTTTTGAGCCTAATTAGTCAATATTTGGACAATAATCCACAAATACAAACGAAATTGCTACAGTGTTCGCCATCACATCGAACACTGTGCAAATGCCGATTCAACAGCGAACTAAACGCGGCCCTAGGTTGACTACCTAACATGGGTCTTCGAATGCCCGGTTCGTTTGGCTAGCTATGGCTGAAAGTACCGTTGGCTAATTTGTTTGGAGAGAAAAATATTGTTTGTTGACTGAAAAAATATGGCTTATAAACCAAGGAAACAGGGCGAAAATTGATTACTATTTCCTCCATTCCAAACCGAGGGCCTATTTAGACCCGTTCGCTTCGCTGAAAAAACAAGGCGAAACACTGTTCCGATTGTTTCGTTGTGAGAGAAAAATACTGTTCCAACTGAAAAACAAGCCGAAAAAAACGGATCATAAAAGAAGCGAACATATGGCCTTAGAATTGAGGATTTCCGAAGAAAAAATAGAGGAATAGATTCTTTAGGAAAGCTTTCTGAAGTTATTGTTTGCATAAAAGGAAATCAGTATTCCTTTCGAGATGAAAGGCTAGCCTTGCTTTACAAAACAAAGAAAAAAAAGCATTCAAAGAAACCTAAAAGAAAAAATCCTGCAATGTTTTCTCAAGTTTTGAAGAATGGAACCAAAGATTCTATTCTTATATTTTTGAAATCCTATAGTTTTCTATGTTTTGCTATGTTCTATTCCTGCATTTTTTACATTCATTTGTTTTATATTCATGTGTTCCAAATAGGGACCCTGGAAGTCGCTTTTCTAGATATATCACCGGTTAAGTCAAACTATATTTGTAGAAAATATTAACATCATTTGTATCTTCAAAAAGTTTATTATAAAAATGTATTCAATGATTTATTTAATGATACTAATTATACATCATAAATATTGATATTATATATATTTGATTGACGTTAAAAATGTTGGATTTCTCGAGAAGCGAGAATGATTTTTTTTATGAAACAAAGGAAGTAATTCTTTCTGCACAGCTAGATATATGTTAGTTCTTTCTACGTACGTAGCAAAAGTTACGAACCTATAAAATCCTTAACGGCTTACAATTTGGGACCAAGGGAGTACCTATCTAAAATAAACATGTTCCTATAGGGATCATATGAATCTAGATAGCAGGTAGTGTGATTTTAGATTTAGAGGTAAATAATCTAATCTATTAGGATTCCTACATTACACTTCTAATAGTAGATTGTACACCATAAAAGTCTAAAGCACCCTTTCAAATGGTTATGTGGATAATGTAGAAGGAATATTGCAAAGAGCTAAATTGTCTTTTCCCATCCTAGAATCCCCAAGAAGCCCATAGAATAGGGATAATGGATTATTGCTTTGGATTGTTGGAACACATAGAAGAAATATCGTACAAGCCTCACTATTGGGATTAAGTTATGATTTTTTAGCCACTTTAAAATCACAATCGGATTCAAATGGACCATATAGAAATAATTTTGTCAAACTATATTATATTTGTAAACTATTTGTTCCAAAAAGCCATCTTTGTCGGATGCAATTCTTGGTCTATTTTTGTTGAAGTATCTAAAGTTTAACCAAGTACTCCCTTCGTTCCAAAAAGAATGAAAACCTCGCTCTGCGAAGGATAAAAAAATAAATTTTGACCAGATATATATAAGAAGGTATCAATATTTATGATATACAATAAATATCACTATATTAATCATCAAGTATATTTTTATAATTAACCTAATTGAAAAATTATAGATAATATCTTCTACAAGCCTCGTCAAACTTAAGATCGTTTTACTCATCAGAAATGCGAGACTTCAATTCTTTTTGGAACAGAGGGAGTATATAGGTAAAAACAACAATGTCTATGGTACCAAATAAGTATACTATGAAAAGATAGCTAATGACAAATCTAATGATATTTAATCAAACCTAACATATTTTAACTTTGCATTGTGCTAGTTTTTTTTTTGAACAGAGGGATTAGATGTGATTTTAGGTTTCACTTTCAAACACATTAGTCTTATAGAAAAATGATGCATGTGCCTCTAAAAAAATATCACGACATGTAATGGCTGCACTTTAAAATTTGGAAAAGTAGATAAGCCTACTTTTTTATGGGTGAAAATCAAGAAAAAAATGAATCCTAAAATTGCATATTTTTTAGAATTTTTTGAATCCTTGAGTAAATGAGTAGGCAATTAAAAAAGTAATATTAATATTTATGGCTCCAGATAGATTTATTATAAAAATATACTCCATAAATGAGTAGACATTGTCCTTATTTATTATATTGAATACTAATATAGTTTATATAAATAATAAAACTTGAAATTAGTTGGCTCATATGCTATAATTGCAAACTTTCTGGAAGGAATAATACTTCCTCCGGCTAAAAAACCATTTTCAATTTGATTAGATCTAATATAAAATAAGGCATCATTAAATCATAGTGAAGTTCTATCTCTGTCTAAAAAAGATATAATTTTGAGCCCGATTTAAATTAAACTTTCTTAATTCTGACTAAGTTTAGTTAAAAAATCATAGTGAAGTATTGATATTTATGACAAAATAAATGTATCTTGAAAATATATCATAGTGTTCCAAATAGCGAGGGGCTCATCATTGTATCAGCCGATTTGAAAGCCCTATGGTTCACTATCCGATCTGTTCGCTTAAACTTATCGGTCATGGTATAATATTTTTCTCTCACAACAAATCAACGAATAGTATTTTTTAACCTGACTTTTCAGCGAAGCGAACAGGGCCCAAAAGCCCTCGGGTGGCGTTTAAGGGAGTGTTTGGGACTGCTCTGCTTCATGTTTTTTTTAGCTTCGCTCTATTTTTTTAGCTAAACGGTTTCAGCTCTACGCACTCTGTTCGAGAAGATTATTGTGAGAGCATATAAAGAGACGCTCCAAAAACTATAATTTTTCATAGAGCTGCTCCATATTATAGTTTGTGGAGCAGTCCCAACACCTCTTGAAAAGCCCTCTGGAGTAGTAACGTGTCATTTGTTGTGTTGCTTCCACACATGAAACGCTTCTGGATTTTCCTCTGCCATCGTTCAAAACCATCATCGTATCTTTACGAGCTTGTTCGATGATTGGTTTATGGGTTAATAAACTCGACTGATGTTAGTTTATTATGAAAGAAAATTACTGTTGGATAAATGATAAGCCTTGTTTTAAAAAAAACGAACAGACTGTATATCTCGAGAGCGAGACGGCAACCCAATCAAATTTCTCCACTCCAGCTCACTAGTGCATTCAAGGCGGACGATCCTTGCTACTACTCCAAAAATGAATTCCAGTAAACGCCGGCTGGCCACTGCGCAAACGCTCGCCATTAGAGCAGTGGCATCCTATGCGGGCTGGGCCTGTTTGGTTTCAGCGGTTCTTCCTTGAATTTTTGTTACATCGAATATTTAAATATATATATATGGAGTATTAAATATAGACTAATTACGAAACTAATTACATAACTTACGACTAATTTACGAGATAAATCTTTTAAGTCTAATTAGATCATGATTTGACAACGTAGTGCTATAGTAAACATGTGCTGATGATAGATTAATTAGGCTTAAAAAATCGTTTCGCAAATTAGTCTCTATCTATATAATTGATTTTGTAATTAATCTATATTTAATGCTCTTTATTAATATCTAAATATTCGGTGTGACATGAATTTTAGGAGGGACTAAAAACCCAAACACCCTTAGGAGTGACGTCACCACCCCCCGCCGCCATCTCCTGCCAAGCTGCGGAGCACCCAGGCAGAGACCGCAGCAGAGAGTGAGAGGCTGCAGCGAAAACCCAAACGGCAACGGCAACGCAAACGAAAACCCAAAACCCGCGTGGCGCGGCGCCTCAAAAACCACCCAAAGCGAAGCGCGCGGCAGAGACCAGATCACCAGAGCAAAGCAGCCCCGGCAGCAGCGGCAGGAAGCAGAGAGCCACCACCATCCACCACCACCGCGGCGGCATCGGTGACATCCCGCTGCCCGAGCAGCGAGCAGAGAGCAGAGCCCAGACCGCCTCGGCACCTCCCCCCTCCGCTTCCCTGACCCAGCCTCTCATCGATTGCGATGATGGAGATTCCTTCACGCGCGCCTGCCCCCTCCTCGTCGTCGTCGTCCGTATCCGTATAAACCCTCCCCATTTCTCTTCCCCTCTTTCCCCCTTGGAAATATTGGGGGAAATTTGGAATATTTGAGTAGAAGAAGTAGAATCGGCGGCCGCCTCCCGTCCGGAGACCGGAGACCGAAGATCGGAGGGATGGCCAAGGCGGAGAAGCTGGTGGTGGAGGTGGTGGCGGCGCACAACCTCATGCCCAAGGACGGCCAGGGCTCCTCGTCGCCGTACGTTGAGGTGGAGTTCGAGCACCAGAAGCGCCGCACGCGGGCCAGGCCTAAGGAGCTCAACCCCGTCTGGAACGAGCGCGTCGTCTTCCCCGTCTCCGATCCCGACGACCTGCCCTACCGCGCCATCGACGTCGGGGTCTACAACGACCGCGGCGCCGCCACCGCCGGCGGCGGCGGCGGTGGAGGCGCCGCCCCGCACGGCCGGAACTTCCTCGGCAAGGTGCGCGTCCCGGCCGCCGGCGTCCCGGCGCCCGGCGAGGAGGCCGTGCCGCAGCTCTTCACCCTCGAGAAGCGCAGCCTCTTCTCCCACATCCGCGGCGAGATCACCCTCAAGATTTACCGCGTCAACTCCGGCGACGTCGCCGTCAAGTCCAAGCAGGAGAAACCGGCGAAGGCGGTGGTGGTTGGGCCGGAGGTGGTGGCGGCGCCGACGGTGACTGGGCCCAAGAAGCAGCCGCAGCCGCACCCGCCGCCGCAGCCACAGCAGCAGCACCAGCACCATCCTGTGGTGGCCGTGCAGCCGCCGCCTCCGCAGCCGGAACCGCCCATGGATATCATGCCGCAACCGCCGGTCCCGATGGCCATGAAGCCGGTGACGATGCACGCGGACCCGTACCCGGTTCCGCCCATGTTCTCCGGCCCCGGGGACTTCTCGCTGAAGGAGACGCGGCCCCGCCTCGGCAGCGGCGTCGTCGCCGACAAGGCGAACGCGACCTACGACCTGGTGGAGCAGGTGGAGTACCTCTACGTGCGCGTGGTGCGCGCGCGCGGCGTGCCCATGGTGGCCGAGGCCGTTGCGGAGGTCAAGCTCGGCAACTACCGCGGCGTGACGCCGGCCGTCCCTTCGCACAACTGGGACCAGGTGTTCGCCTTCTCCAGGGAGACCATCCAGTCGTCGTTCGTGGAGGTGTTCGTGCGCGCGCGCGGCAGCGACGACCACGTCGGCCGCGTCTGGTTCGACCTCTCTGAGGTGCCGCGCCGCGCGCCGCCCGACAGTACGCTCGCCCCGCAATGGTACAGCATGGAGGACCGCAAGGGACAGCGCGGCGGCGCGGAAGTGATGCTCGCCGTCTGGTTCGGCACCCAGGCCGACGAGTCCTTCGCGGAGGCCTGGCACTCCAAGGCCGCCGGCGTCCACGGCAACGGGGCGCTTGGCTCCATCAGGTCCCAGGTGTACGTCGCGCCCAAGCTCTGGTATCTTCGTGTCTCCGTCATTGAAGGGCAGGATTTGTTCCCGATGGACAAGGGCCCATTTGCAATCGGCCGATTCCCGGAGCTCTTCGTGCGTGCGCAGGTGGGGAGCCAGATTATGCGCACACGGCCGGCGCCGGTGGTGTCTACACGGGGACCTGCAAGTCCGTTCTGGAATGAAGACCTGATGTTTGTGGTGGCAGAGCCATTTGAAGACTTCTTGGTGCTGTCTGTGGAAGACCGTGTGTCCCCAGGCCCGGATGAGTTGCTTGGCCGCCTTGTTGTGCCAGTGTCTGCCATTGAGAGGCGGTGGGATTGGAGGCCAGTGGTTTCGAGGTGGTTTGGGTTGGACCGTGGTACTGCCGGTGGCAATGTTGCTGCCAACAATGTGCACAGGTTTGGGAGCCGCCGTGTGCATCTCCGGCTAAGTCTTGATGGAGGTTACCATGTTCTGGATGAGGCTACAGCTTACAGCAGCGACCTTCAGCCCACAGCAAAACAGCTAAGGAAACCACATGTTGGGGTGCTTGAGCTTGGTGTTCTTGGTGCCACTGGACTAATGCCAATGAAGTCCCGGGATGGTAGGGGTGCGACGACGGATGCTTATTGTGTTGCAAAGTATGGCCAGAAGTGGATCCGCACACGCACTCTTGTTGACTCATTGTGCCCCCGGTGGAACGAGCAGTACACATGGGAGGTGTTTGACCCCTGCACTGTCATCACTGTTGGTGTGTTTGACAATTGCCATGTTGGCAACACATCTGGGAGTACTACTATGGCTGTCCGTGATAACTGCATTGGCAAAGTTCGTATTCGGCTTTCGACATTGGAGACTGATAGGGTGTATACCCATGCCTACCCTCTGCTGATGCTGCATCCCTCAGGGGTCAAGAAGATGGGGGAACTTCACCTAGCTGTGCGCTTCGCCTGTGGCAATGCTGGTAACATGTTCCATGCCTACGCACGCCCCTTGCTTCCGAAGATGCACTATGCGGAGCCACTCCTCGTGCGCCAGGTTGAGACTCTTCGGTCCCAGGCCACCAATGTGGTTGCAGCCCGACTTGGACGTGCGGAGCCGCCCCTTGGCAAAGAGGTTGTTGAGTACATGCTTGATCATCATTCAAACCTGTGGAGCATGAGGCGCAGCAAAGCAAACTTCTTTCGCCTTATCAATGTGCTCTCTGGTCCTGTCGCTATTGGCAGGTGGTTTGAGCTTGTCCGCTCTTGGCAGTGCCCGGTGCATTCATGCCTTGCTGTATTCACATTCCTGGTGTTCCTCACAATGCCGGAGCTGATTCTTCCAACGGCCTTTCTGGCCATGGCGTTTGCTGGGCTTTGGAGGTATAGAGTCCGTCCAAGGCATCCGCCTCACATGGAGATGAGGCTGTCTCATGCAGATGGAGCCACTGCAGATGAGCTGGATGAGGAGTTTGACACATTCCCTTCAACCCGTGGGGATGTCATGCGCTTCCGATATGACCGCCTCCGCAGTGTGGCTGGGAGAGTTCAGACAGTGGTAGGCGACATTGCAACACAGGGTGAGAGGATGCAGGCTGTCCTCAGCTGGCGTGACCCGAGGGCGACGCTGCTCTTCGCTATCTCCTGTGTAGCTGCTGCAGTGATTGCATATTGTGTTCCGATGAAGGTGATGATTGGGATGTGGGGCCTTTACGCCATGCGTCCACCGAGGTTCAGGAGCAGGATGCCTTCCCCGTTGATGAACTTCTTCCGAAGGCTTCCTTCTAGGGCTGACATCCTGCTCTGATCCTAGTGATTCCTACTCTGCTGGTTGGCTGTGGATAGTGAGCCGGACTTCTGATTTGATCAGGTGATTTTGGCGGGAAGAGTGAGGAGCTTGAAAGGAATCAAGGAAGAAACAAATTAGTCTGCTGTAGTAGGTGCCTGATGTGGTGGTTGTTTAGTTTAATGTTGTTACCCTGTTAGTGTTAGGTAATGCAGTACTATGTTGCTGTCTGATGTGTCTGGTAGTAGTTGTTTGCAGTTCCAGCAGCTGCAGTGATGCTGTTCTTGTGCTTCAGTTTAAGTTGTGCAAAGACTAGCCGAGTAGTGGTAACTAGATTGTGGTGTTTGCTGCAAACTGGTGAGATTATGAGTTTCAGTTTAATTAGAAAACTGTTTCGATCTTTATGCCCTGTGCTTCTAAACTTTGCTGGATGCCGTGTGCCAAAGTATCAGTAGCAGATGCAGAATGTGTTCTTTGGAGGTCAGCAGTACAATTGTCTCCTTAAATATCTTGTCTCTTAACTCTGTCTGTTCTTGAAAGATGGCACGGTCATTGCTCCTTTCACGTGTGCGTGGCTTTTCTTGCGAAGGTAGAGTATACTATCATATCCTCCAGACTAAGCTGTTTTGTTTAGTTTGTCTCCATTCTGTTCCCATGTGGCTCGAGGCTTAAAGTAATGGAGCAAGGAATTGTTCCTCCTTGTCTGTACTGTAATGAGGTGTTTTCTGTTGATTAACCGATGTTTCTGCATAGAATTTGTAGACTGTCTGTGCTCGTGGCATCCACTCGCCCCATTGCAGCATATTCTGTTTCTGATGGAGCAATGGTCAGGCCATGTTTTGAACTGGGTAACGCAAGGGTAAAACACTTATGTACCAGTCACTGCATTGTTTGTTGGCTTTTGTGCTCAAAAGCTTTTGCTTGTCTTGGGAGGGTCGACATGTTGCTTTGTACTAGACATGGACATGGACCCATGAGCTTCTGGATAAGAAGGGCTACGATTAGATGAATGATTATGGTGGCAGTTATCTGGTACTGGTTGCTGTCTAACAGAAAGAAGGGGACTATGGTGCATTATGAAAGAAAGGCACTGCCTCCGTCCGGAAACGGATGCAATTCTAGATGTCTAGCTAAACTATCCAAAATTTAATCAAATTTATAGAACAGAATATTAATATTTATGATTCAAGCTATGTGTATTATCAATACATTCTATGACAGAATCTAATAAATATATTGTATTGGTACTTTTGTTAAATTCAAATTGGTTTGAATTGGCATTATGCTAGAATTACGTTCTTTTCCGTACGGAGGGAGCAGGTACTTCTGAGCTTGCGGCCAAATTACCATCATTTAATCCACAAAAAGAGCTACAGAGAGTTTTGGCCTCCAAACCGGTTTACAGACAGTCCATGAAGAGATTGGTAACACAAGGCCCTGTTCAGCTGGCTGAAAAAACAGCTGATGCTGATGCTGATTTGTTGTGAGAGAAAAACAGTGTTATTTTGCTGAAACGGTACGGCTGATAAGTTCAAACGAACAGAGTTACTTGTGGAAAGATACTCTGGCCGTCTGACGTTTCATCCCAAAGATGCCTGTCAGAAATCTCTCCAAATTATAAACTATTAATGTTCATAGTTCTCAGGAGCTAAAATTCAGGAGACAAAACATTCCAAGCTGCTATTATGAATTAGTAGCTGCAGGAATGTCTTCCAGCAGAAGAAATCAAACAGAAGCAACTGATGCTCGTTGCATCACCAAGAAGACTAACCTAAGCAACTAATGCTGTGTGAAAGAGAATGCCCACGTTGAGACAACCAAATTGAACGAATGATATCCATGGAAATTTTGATTGTTATATCCTGAATTGCCAGATAGTTGTGGCCATTTCAGTCACTAAACCACACGAGCTCATTTAGTCGGGGACAACATACTATAATAGATTTACAACAAATCGAATCACTTCATTGTCATTCGAAGACATTTAATCCACATTTGGAACAGCCATCACCTTCTGGCTGCAGGCTCTAGCCGGGCTTTCACATTAGAAGGGAGGTCCAACAAAACTTCCCCGTCATATTCTACTCTCAGCAGGCACTGGTGCCAAATCAAAATGCTCCTCCATCACAGTGAATACTTCTGTTAGAGAGGACATCTTGAAGTCAGGTTTCACTTGCTCAGGTAATGAATCATGTGGACCATATCGCCCCGTCTCATCAAGCAAGCAAGTAAAAGCTCCTGCCCTCTTTCCACAAACAAACTGACAATTTTTCAAACAAGTGAAGCGCAATGTGACCAGCTTCATGGGACCAATTTATGTTGGTTTAGCTATGATGCAAGTGACAATTTAAGTCAGGGATAACTTTTAAAAAGAAAAAGGTTATGATGAAATCGTAAGTAGACATAAGGCATGGAATTTATTTCTGGTAATTTCATCATGCTGATTGAAAACATGGAAGAGAATGTGCTAGTGCAACTCCCTCTTTTTTAGCAGGCATATTAGGATTTTAAAAGTCCTTCACAAATTTTGACCAACAATCTGTCAATAATATGCATGCTGAATGTCTAAAAGTTATATGAACAGATTCGTAATTCAAATATTTGTTAATATGACATTGGTTTTGTAGTGATTGATGATACATTGTAAAAGAAATTGGTGGTCAAAATACAGCCCTAAAGGCTTTTACTAAATCCTAATACACCTACTAAAAACGAATGGAGTATATAGCAACCCTTTTTATATGCTACAGCTTGTAATCAAATGAAGAATGCTCACATCATCCTTGAGACTGTCGCCGACCATGATCACTTCGTGTGGTGGAATGTTCCAAGTGGAGCATATGTGAAGCAGTGGAGCAGGATCTGGCTTATAGGGGCGAAATTCTCTACTCAGTGCAGGAGTGAACGTCATCTGCAAAGATCCCAAACACAAAGTTAGAAAAGAATAAACACACTAAATGCAATGGATAACAATTAAAAAAATTGTACATCTGTCCCACTTCACTATTGCAAGACAACGACAAGCAATGAATCAGATCAGTGAGAGAACGAATAATACGGGCATGGTCTCATAATCTGGAAAAAGTTACTACATTATGATAAAAACAGACTCCATGGGTATGAGAGCCAGAAATAACCAAATGAGCATGACAAATTAGTAATCAGAAGGAGGGTGATGCAACAACTTGCACCAAATCTTTGGTGAAACAAATCGACTGCGTCCTTCACATTACGGGTGATCAAACCTCTTCTGCAAAAAGTTGAGGCCTGGAATCAAAAGCTGAATATACGTCTCTAACACAACAAATGATTGACAGACAAAAGAAAACAATGATTGCAGTTATTCATGCATATTAGGCCAGATAAACTCAACTCCCTTTTAAAATGACACCCACACAAGCTCGAAAATAGGCATGAACTCGATTGCTTGTGTCAAGCAACAGTACCCATTCTGGTACACGCAATAAACAAGAAAAGTGAAGACATCATTTCAACAGACAGCAGTACAACATTGATGCTAGTCGAATTCTTTCTGACTCTATGGTTGGACTAGCAGCATAAGCCTAAGAATTGCTATTGGCATCTTTTGAAGTGGCACGATTGTAAACCATTTTTTTCAGATAACGATCTGCTTGTGTATAAGAATTTTAGATGAGAATATAGAATATGGTACAGCCATCACAAATGTGTAGTATGTACGACAGTATGAATGAAAACTTAGTCAGCAGTACACTGTGAGTACAAATTTTCCTTGCAGAGCAATGTCTCTTAGTGTCAAGTTTATGCAATCCAATTTCCAATCTGACATGCATACATCATTTGGCATCCACTCATGATCATCTGTATCACGATCAGATTCTGAAGCATCTGGTACTAGCAGGTAAAAATACTGCGCGAAACCAATATCAAAACTGGAGCAATTCCACACACAGTGAGTCAATGCGAGGGAAGCACTTTAAGCCACAACTTGGAGGTAGGCAGGTACGAGTAGCAATTAGCAAGGACTGACCTGATCTGCTTGGCGTCCAGGAAGCCGCATAGCTCCGAAGCCCCTGCATACCCAGGACAAATCGCAAGCAGTCACACACCACACCGAGTATCACCGAGCTACAAACTACGAATCCAGAAGCAGCAGCAGCAAGGCAAGCAGGGTGGACTGGTGGTGGCCGCCTGACCAGGCATGATCTGGAGGCGGTCGAGCCCCTCCCGCTCGAGAGGCTTTTACATGTGTACCCTTAAAAAAGAAAGATGCCACACTCCTGCGTATCCCTCAAAAGTTGGTCGTCACCTACATGCCCTCGCTCAAACTTTTCTTTTCCCTCACGACATTCCGTCGGCGTTCTGTTAGGTTTTGGCCGTTTGGCGGCTTTGACATGTGGGACCAGGCTAGAAAAATACCCTCCTTGCCCTCTGGGTCACTGACATATTGGGCCGCATCTCCTTCAGTCTCACCCGAGCCTCTCTCTCAGTCTCTCCCCATTCTCGTTCCTCACTCTCTCACCCGAGCGCGGGAGGACGCGGCGGCGAACCCTAGCGGCGGCGGATCTGGAGACGGCGGCAGTCGGTGTTGGCGGCCCGCCCTCGAAATCCTAGCCCCGTGGAGCAAGACGGTCGGGCGGAGCAGGCATGCCGTGGAACGGACCCGGCGAGAGGCCGGATTGGTTCCGGGAAGAGTGAGTACCGCTCCTCCTCCCTCCTTGACTTCGCCCCTCCTTGTATTGATGTTGATTGCATTAGTGTATTGCGCTACCGAATCGTGTTTAGGGTTTATTGATTACGTGCTCCTTGTTCATCTGTAGGATGGACCCAAACAGTAGTTACAACCTAGAAATGCAGATTGTTGGTCCCAATTGTCGTGCAAAGTGGTTTTCTATGAATGAAGTGGTGGATGCAGACAGAACTTTGTTAACTGGGCTTATGGAAGATTTGGTTGACAAGTATCCTCCTAGCTATGGTGATGTAGCCACATTGTTTTACTGGTGCATGCATAGTAAAGTTCACATACCTGTGCGCAATGACCAAGAGATGCTAGCAATGTTTGAAAAAAATAGGGCAACCAGAACATGCTTGTTGACTGTTGCATATCATAGTCCTGGTACTCAGCCTGTGCTTCCTGATTGGGAGTCTGGTAGCCCAAGGAAATATGTTGAGACCCCATTCACTCCTTCAGTTGTTTCTCCAAGCATAGCAGAACCAAGCCAGCTATCTATGTCTCAGCCACCCAAAGCAAGCCAACCTGAGTTCCTGGCTAACCCAAATCCAATGAATGAGCATATGGGGATTGATGATGAAGGCTTGTATATTGATCTTGGTCCCAACCACCCTCCACCTCCTCCTACCAGTTCTAAGAGCCAAGGGGGAGTAAAGTAAGGGAAGAAGAAATAGATGAATCCTCTGATGAAGAAGTTGCTGATAGGGATGATGAAACCAGTGATGAGGAAGATGAGGAAGTAGAAATAGATGAATCCTCTGATGAGGAAGTTGCTGATAGGGAGCCTGAGCAATTTCAATTTCCTGATGTTGAATATGACAAAGATGACCCTCCTATGACAGTGGGAACTATCTACCCAGATATGGCTTCTTTTAAGATTGCTTTAGCTAGTCATGCTGTTAAACATGAGTTCAATTATGAAATTGATAAGAGTGATACAGGGAGGTATACGGTGCACTGTTCTCTAAGGAATGAGGGATGCCCGTGGAGACTGCATGCCTCAACTTCAGCTGATGGACATGGCATTCATGTGATGTGTTAGTTCAATTTGTGGTATTGACTGCTACCTGTTTTTCTTGCATGTACCTAGCTGCTAACATGTGTTTCTTTTCAACTTTTTTCCCAGGTGAAGGTGAACCCACATGAGCATGGAAATGGCTGCCAGAGCACTAGGAGACAAGGATCATGTGTTGGACTTAGTCAGTTTTGGGTGTGCAGCAAGGTAATTGATTGGTTGAAAGATGATGGAAATGTTGGTGTAAAAGAGCTGCAAAGGAGGCTGAAGGATCTGTACAAGGTTTAGATCAGCTACAGAAAAGTGTACAAAGGTAAATACCTTGCAATGGATCAACTTTATGGGCCTTGGGGCAAGAGTTTCCATAATTTGTTTAGGTTTAAGGCCCAGTTAGAACAATCTAGTCTTGGTTCAGTTCTTGTCATTGATCATCACACCATCAATAATAAGGTCAGGTTTAACATGCTATTTTTTGCTCTGAAAGCATGTGTTGATGGATTTCTTAGGGGATATAGACCATATCTTGCAGTAGATAGTACCTTTTTGACAGAGAGATTTAGGGGACAGTTGTGTGTTGCATGTGCAGTAGATGCCCACAACTGGATGTATCCAGTTGCTATTGGTGTGATTGACTCTGAAACCAATAAAAATTGGATCTGGTTCATGGAGAGATTGAAGGTGGCAATAGGCACTCCAGAAGGCATGACATTCCATACAGACTATGGGCAGGCAGTAATGAATGGAGTCAGTCAAGTTTTTTCAACAACTGAACATAGAGAATGTATGTATCACTTAGTACATAATTTCAAGAAGAGGTATAGTGGTAGAGTGTTTGATGATCACTTATGGGCTTCCTCATATTCATGGAGCCCATACATGTTTAAGAAGCATTATGAAGCAATGGCTGCAGCCTAACCAGAAGCAATGAAGTACTTGCAAGAGAATCACAAGAAGCTTTGGACCAGGAGCCAGTACACCACACTGTCAAAGGTTGACTATGTGACAAACAATTTGGCTGAGTCCTTCAACAACTGGGTCAAACCTGAAAAGTGTAAGCACCTGGATGACTTGCTGGACACTATAAGGCAGATGCTTTTGATCAAGTGGAACCATAGGAAGAGGGTAGCTGCTAAGCTCAATGGCAAAATTATGCCCCATATCATGCAGAGGCTTAGGGAAGACACTTACAACTTGGACATAGATGTCATCACAGCCTCACCTGAAGGTGTGGCAGAGCTGTGTGCTAAAGGTCTGCAAGGAACTGGGTTCAGGTTTGTGGTCAACCTAGCAGACAGGACCTGTTCTTGTAGGGTTTGGCAGGGGCCAGGAATCCCATGCAAGCATTCCATTGCATACATTACCTCAATTCTTGGCGCAAAGCTTGAAGACTATGTGGATGAGTACTTCTCTGTCAACAATTTCAGAGTTGCATATGACGGCTCCATCCCTAGCATACCTGACAAGAGCATGTGGCCAGAGGCAGAACCAGGCTTTTTCTTGAACCCTCCTCTTCTTAAGTCCATAGGTGGAGGTAGGAGAAAGAATATGATGAAATCTGCACTTGAGGGAGGCAGCAGCCAGAGGAAGTCAAAGAAACATGAATGCCCCATCTGTCATCAGTTGGGCCATCACTGGTACACTTGTAAGAATAGGAACCCAGAAGACATAGCTGCAATGGAGGCAGCAAGGTAATATGTTGTCCTATGCATATAGCTACCTTTGCATGTACATAGCTTTGCATACACAGAAGCTAATCTATTTTCCTTTGTAGGGGCACACCAAAGAAGAGGTTGAAGAAGGCTGCAGCAAGCAACACAGAGAGGAGTCTTGTGGTGGCCCAGCCATCCCAGATGCAGTTCCCATTCAATGAGGCAGTGGCAAATGCCATCCATAACAAAAGGAAGAGGAAGTCATCCTCTTCTTCAACCTCCTCACAGAAACACAAGGGTACAACACCAGCCACCACTAGTTCAACCTCAGCTCCTACTAGTGTGTCTACAAGGTACCTGTTCTTTGCCTCATCCTTTTCATTTCAACCAGGTGGAAATCTAATGCATACTGTTGACTGTCAGGTCTGGAACTGGTTCAAATGATCTAGTCCCACTCTTATCTGTGCATCTGGTTCCTTTCAATGAGGACTCCATTATAGTGGACACCCAGCCCAGCCAGCCAGTTGATGACCTCCCACTTGAGCCTGTGGATCCACGATGCACACCAAGAAGAAATAAGGGAGCAGTGAAGAAGAAGTTGACACCAAAGAAGCTGCAGTAAGAAACTCTAGTGATGTTCTATTGCTGCTGTGATGTTCTTTTTTTTGGCCCTGACGCATGATCTTTTGGTACTTTGATGTTCTTTTGGGGCTGTCATGAAAAACCTTGTCTGAATTGATGATTCATGTTAGTGATGTGAACAAACTCTAGTAATTTAGTTTCTATGTGTAAACTGTAAGTGATGTGATCAAACACCATATGCTGTTGGTGATGAAACACATTATGCTACCAGTTATGTGATGGATGAGTGAATTGTTAGTTTCTTTGTCTTAATGTTGTTCTGAACCATGAGAAGCATTCATTCATTCATCTATTCATTCATGCATTGATTGATCCATACATCCATGAAAACTCACACACACACACACACAACAGCAGCCTATTTCTTGAAAATAGCATACAAAGCAAGCACCAAGCACAAATACACGAGTTTTTCAATCCTCCTAAGCTGCTGCTGCACCCTCTTGTCCATTGGTGCATGGCCTTCAACTACAGTTGCCTGGGAACCTTCCTGCAAGATGGCCAGAGGAGGAGCTGTGGGAAAACCACCAGGTGCTGCCACTGCCTGCAGTGGAACTGCTTGGATTGGTGTAGCTGTCTCCCCCATCTCATCCTCCCACTGATAGTACTGACATCCTCCAATCTGAAATCCAACATAGAGACTGAGCAAAGAGGGAAAGACAAACAATGTTGACCAAAGAGAGAAGCACAAACCGCGAAATAAGGGCACTTGTGAAAGGCCCGGTTGGGGTTGGCCCTGGTCGTCGAGATGAAGCGATTGGCGAGCACATTGCAGTTCGGGCAAAGCACACGCCGCCTTGGCGCACCACCATAGCTGATGCTACCTTGTGATATGGCTGTCAAAGAGAGAGGGCTCAAGAGAGTGGCAACTCCCTGGCTTTTGGCGCCAATATATAGGAGGAGAAGGACAGGCTCTTTGGCGCCAAATCCCTGTCCTTTGGCGCCAACAACGGCGTCTCTGGCGCCAAAGCCAATTGGCCTGGCAATGGCATGGGGGAAACGAAAAAGTTCAGACGCCCATACAAGCCCAAGGGCAACTGAGTCATTCTCCAGAGTCGTTAACCACCGTTAGGAGCAAATGCCGACGGAATGGCGTGAGGGAAAAGAAAAGTTCGAGCGAGGGCATGTAGGTGACGACCAACTTTTGAGGGGTACGCAGGAGTGTGGCATCTTTTTTAAGGGTACACAGGTAAAAGCCTCCCCGCTCGAAGCGCGCGATGACCTCGTACGCGTGGCGCTGCTTGTCGAGCGCCCAGTCCTCGATGCAGTGGAGGATGTCGACAGCGCCTCCGCCCGTGGTGCGCGCTGCGGCGTACGCCGCGTCCCCGCCGAGGACCTCGCGGTACATGGCCGGGAAGTCGATGACGGGCACCGTGAGGGTGCCGTCCATGTCGAAGACCACCCCGCGCAGCGGCCGCCTCGGCCCGGGCGCGGGCGCGGGCGCGGGCACGGCGGAGGCGGAAGCGAAGGCGGAGGTGGACATGGCCCGGCGGCCGGCAAAATACATGCAATTTACAACATCAAATTTGTTGCATCAAAACCAATGTCTTAATAACATATTTATTTTGTAATGTAGGGATGTTAATATACTTCTAGAAAAACTCAAAGAAAGTCATAGAAGTTTTGGCTAGACAAATCTAAAGTTACGTGCAATTTGGACCCGACGGAGTATTTCAGCAGCCATATATCTGATGCGACCTCGAACCATCACTGTAAGGTGTGTTTTGGAACGAGGAGATCTCCAAACCTAGATGTTTATTATGTGTTCTTCATTATTATATTATTAATTGGAAAGTTTTATTTCCTTTTTTTTATAGAAAATGTGCACTGCGTGGTTGGACGGAAGGAGTAATTATAAATCTTAAGAGAGTCGATCAAAAGCATGCTGTGGAGTGACGTAGCTGGGTTGGGTCACGTAGGAAGGGGAAATAGAAATTTACCATCAGTAATTAGTAATAACAGCAAAACGCATGGAAACTTATGATTGATCGGAAAAAAAAACTAAAAATTGATTTGCTTTTCCTACCATGCTTATTTTTCACATTTTGTGGTTAACATTTCCATCTCCATTTTACTCTAGAATACAAGAAAACCTAAATAACGAGCACTAATAAGTAAGTACAGTAATAACCGGAATTTTATATTTGGACTCTCATCTGACCATACCCATACCTTAGGCATACGTGCATGTGCAGACGTGCTGTGCACAGTTATATGTCCAGCAATTCACAGTGGCGATTAAAGCCATGCTGCTTCATGCGGCAATTCGCCGGTTGTTTACGCCAAGGCGGACTACGGCACAGAGAAGAAGTAGAACTACTACACCTCATTTGGAGGCTATTCAATTCTTCACCAGCATGTACCAACCAGCGGTACGGTGCACCTGCCTCTTTGGCAGGACGGTGCATGGAAAACCAGTGAACTAGTAACAATTAAGCTCTGCTGTGTCAAACACATGCCTCCGTAGTCCGTACACGGTACACGCACGCACGCACGAGGTCGTCCGGAGCCCGGCACACACATGTGCTCTCCTCGTAGTTACAGCTCATTTTAACTTTGTTATAAATCAATTTTTCTTTAGTTTTAATAAAAATTTTAAAAATACAGTCATGCCATTTTCCACCACGGAACGAACCGAGTTCCATTGTTTTTATTTTTTATTTTTTTGTGTTCTCGCATGCCAATTTTCACCACGGAACGAACCGAGTTCCATTACTCATGGGCAATGAAATTACAATAACTATAATACTCATCATCAGAGCCCTGTTTTTTTGTTATCAGAAACGAGACATATTTTAGGCCATGTTTAGCACAGCTTCACCAACATCTTCATAAGCTATTTGAAGCTATTTTTTTTTTCCAAACAGTCATTTTGAAAACAACTTCACCCATGAAAAGAAGGAAAGACGAAAAATGCAAGGGTATCTATGATATTTCATCATATCTGTCTACTATGTGAAGCTTTTTTTTTTGGTCAAACGGGGTCACGAAAATAGCTCAAATTCATCGGTAGTGCTATTCGTTAAGCTAAAACCGAAAAAACAGCCTCACTGCTAAAGCTGAGCCATGTCAAATGGGACATTAGCGTCATTCTGTCTTTAAAAAGAAAAACCGTCAGTTCCGTTACCACTACGTCTGGTGGTCTGCAGTGCACAACAACCCCATTCTAGGATACGTCACACACATGATTGGGTAGAAGCTTCATTCGAAACATGCTGTACTGCAAATATTGGCAGCACATGACTGCAAATGGTGTTGACACTGTACTAAACCTCCCCTCCATCATCACTCTAGTTTCCACTCTCCAGTTGCCATCAACGAACAACAGCAGCATGCAGGTACCAATGGTGATCTGATGACCTCTCCTAATCCCACCTTTTTGAGGAAACACGATGATCACTGCAAATTGCAACACAACACATGCCGTGTGAGTGTGGCTCGCTGATTTTTCTCATTCTGTGATGCCTCCAGACTCCGGTACACCATGCATGCAGCTAAGGACACTTCCAATACAGAGACTGCCGGATAATTTCTACAGTATGTCACAGGACACCTATGCTTACCAACGCAGTATTTTTGAGAGTCCCAACAAAAGAAATCTGACCAATCGTTTATCTCTCTTCTTCCCCATCCCTCCGGATCCTGTGCGGGCGGGTATGCCTGTGGCTCAGGCGTGCAGGCTCCCACGGCGGCGACAGTAGGACATCACTGCCCGTGCTCGGCTGCTCGCAAGCCACCGTCTCCAGCTCACCGCACCCCTCTGCTTCGTCGGGCACCACCACCACCTCCGTGCCCTTGCCCGGCGGCCGCGCGGCGCGCGAGCGAGATCCGCGGCAGCAGCGCGAGATCGCAGCGGTGGCGGCGCGCGAACTCTGTCCGCGCCGTGATGGCGGCCGCGCGTGCTCCGTCCGCATCGGCCGAGAACCCGCGAGCACGTCGCTAAGCTGCGCGAGGCTGATGCCTAGCAGCTCGGCGCAGTTGCGCATGCCCGACGGCGGCGGCACGACGCCGCCGTGGACGCGGAGAGGTTCTGCGCCAGCGCTCGTGCCGCCGTTGCCCAAGCCATCGCGAACCGGACGGAGCTGCGAACGGGGCCCGCGCCTCCGCCGACGTGAGTGCGGTCTCGCACACGCATAGGTACGGTGTCGAGTGGCAGAGCAACATGATGTTCGCGAGCTCGGATTCTTCGGCGGTGTGCGCGGGAAGAGAACGGGAGCATGCAGACGCGGAACGGGACGCTGTACAAGAGCTGCGACTACAACGACTCGGGCCCCGACGACACCGTGGAGTGGTCCGCCGCCGCGCCGGAGTTCAGCAAGGACGCCGTCACCGTCGCCATGCCGCTCCTCAAGGAAGGCCGCGCCTACTTCTTGTCGCGGAACTACGACGGCGAGCAGTGCGAGAGCGGCCAGCGCTTCGCCATCGGGAGCATGGGATCCGTCGGTGGCCGCTGGAAACGATGGCCTCCTCCCAACGCGGTCTGGCGTAGCTTCGAAGGGCTTCCTATCCCGTGAAGACGTCGAGTCTAATCTATAAACCGTTTCTTCATTTTTTTTTTCTTTCCCTCCTCACCACGTCAGCAACATGCTTAGGTGGCAGCACAATTAATATATATAAAAACTATAGTAATTTTTGTATTGGAAGTGCGCTATTGAAGTAATAAGTGGCATCTATCGCTCTCAGGCTGCCAGTTGATGTGCTTTAATTTATTAGGGAAGGAGATGGAGAAGGAGATAGAGCTAGCGACAATGACCTGCTATCAACCTCTGATGATGCCTTTATTTATTTGCCATGCAATCACGGCATGCAGCGTCGTTGTACGAGGATAGATCATCCATCAAATGAACCACTAGCTAGTACGTGTTGCATCAGCATCACTGACCAAATGGGGCTGGCTGGCTGGCTCTCTTCAGTTCACAGGAAGGGCTAGCTGCGCTGTGTTTCTCATTTGAAGAATCCAGCAGGGGCATTTTAGTCTGCCTTGCTTTGTAATTTTATTTATGTTTCTCCTTTTGCAGTAAAAAAGCTCATGCGATCGACCGGTTTGCTTCACAAGAAAAACGCTCTCGTGCTGTCCGTCCTGATGCTTCAAATGCATTCAAGTTCTGCTGAACTTCCGTTCATGTGCTTTACTGTGTGCAGGAGGCGACGACGACCTGTAAAGCCCAAACTGTCAATTACCAGAGAGCAAGCCTGAGCAAAGCAGTGAATAATCACTACATTACGGTTTACGAAGGTAAATTTATACTGCACTGGGGCAATGCAAGACTCTGAGTCTGAGACAATCTGGATCTGGGTAATTTGAGCGACCGACGGGATGATGAGGAGTAGAATTGAAATCCTGTACTTGAACCGACTCTAGACAGTCCTGTCCTGTCCTGTCCCTGTCCTAGATGTGATGAGATCTCTACTGCTTCTCCTTGTGTTTTCGTTTTCATCCTCCTGCACAGAACAGTCCAGGGAACACCAGAATTCAATGGCCTCCATAAGAAGGGGAAGGTGTGGCTGCCCTGCATATGCATATCCATAAGAACGCCTTGTTTAGTTGGACTCCAAAATCCAAAAAGTTGCTACAGTACCTGTCACATCGAATGTTTGTGACCTGTGCATGGAGCATTAAATGTAGACGAAAAGAAAAACTAATTGTACAGTTTGGTGGGAAATTGCGAGACGAACGTTTTGAGCCTAATTAGTCAATGTTTGGATACTATTTGTCAAATAAAAACGAAGGTGCTACAGTAGCCCCAAAATCCAAATTTCGCGAACTAAACAAGGGCGAAGTGCCCTACAATCTCACAAGTGACCTGGTGGTGTACGTGACTAGTGCATGCATATGCATGCAGCCACACCTTCACCTTCTTAGACTTTCTCCAACAAAAACAACCCAAACACGATACCCATTCACAGTATAGGTCACCTACAGTTTCAGGGTCACGGACCAAAATCTCGGCCTTCTCCAACAGATCCAGGCCTGCCCCCCCTTCTTCCTGCAGCGTCCGTCGCCTCCCTTCCCCCCTTTCCCCTCCCGTCCCTCCCATCCCCGCGGGCCGCCAGAGGCAACTCGCCCTCGATTCATCCCAGCGTCGCCCCGTTGCGAGTGGGATTCGCTCCGCCCCTCGCGGATCTGACCGCTGCGCTCCGTGTAGCCGCTCGAATCCGCTATGAAGGGGGCCAAATCCAAGGGCGCCACCAAGGCCAAAATACGCGCCCGGCCGAGTCCCGCGTCCCCACCACCTCCTCCGCTGCTCCTCCTCCTTTCCTCACCGGAGGCTTTGGCGCGTTCGTCGGCCGCTGCCTTGAACAACCGCCAGTGCAGCGCTTGGCGGCGGTGGCGGTCGTCGGTCCGGCGCGACGTGCCACCGGTCGTCGCTCGTGGGATCTGCGCGCGTGCTCGCCACAATCCCAAGCCGCCCCTCTCTCCCCCGATGCCGCCTTCTTCTTCCCTCGCGGTGGGTCCAAATCCATGCGATGGGATGAGATCTCCCTCACCGACGACGAAGACGAAGCGCTCCAGCCCGGCGGCGCGCGACCCGCGAAGCGGCGCGAAAAGGGACCGGACGGCGGGCAACCTCCACCGACGGTGCGGACGCAACCTCCCCACGCGGAGCTTCAAGTCTTGCAGCGCGCGCCGCCATCATTGTTCGCTCCACCCCGACACCTCTGATGTTTTGCGCGGCTGCGAGAGAGGGACGACGCTTTTTTGCCTTTCGAGTTGTCTTTGATACGCATAAAATGCGTGTTTGGATCGTCCTCCGTTGAGCACGGGATCTGGGACGCAAAACACCGTCTTGTATTTGTATTTTAGGTTTGGGTTTGGCCATGCGCCCTATGCCGTTGGAGACAGCCTCAAGGAGGCCATTGAATTACGTGTTCCCGGATGTTCTCACATGCGGAGGGTGAAACGAAAACAAACACAACATGGTATGGTAAAACACATGCGATGAGACTCCCACCGGTATGGTAAATAAAAGGGTAAAGTCCACTTTAGGACCTTCAACTATCACGTAAGTATGGATTTCAACCTACAACTTCAAAACCGGATAACATTGGCCCTCCAACTCTCGAAAAAGTTCACTTTAGGACCTCGGCCGGTTTCACTGGCGGTTTTGCATGGCATCAGATAGCGATCTTGACGTCAGCGATGACGTCGAGACTTCTTTTTTAATTTGTAAAATTGATATCTTTTTATTCGAGCTTCAAATATAGCAAATAATATATCAATTTTGATCGTCTCGACGAGCTCTTTGCAATGGTGTACTCCGTTTTGTTGTTTGAGATAATTTTATTTCATGAAAAAAAAAATATTTCTACAAAACAAGTTAGAATAATGTAACTCGTGGAATTTGTTAGATAAATAATTTTTTATTATTATGTAACACGAAATGTTGTCTTTTTAGGTTCATTTGACCATAGAATATATAAGTTTGACCATTTTGAAATGCAATAATTCAAAACTTGTTTTGTAGAAATATTTCGCCGTGTCATTGGGTCCGCAAATATTTCTGCAATAATTCAAAATATTTCTGCAATAATTCAACAAGGGCGCCGTGTCCGTCCGGTTCAATTTTGCCGCATTACAGGAGCTTCGCCAGTGTCTTTGCCACCTCGCGTCGAAAACGGTACGCGAGGCGACGAAACACCGCAACGCCGATGCCACGGAGATCCTCGCCGGGACGACCTTCCGGGGCACGCAGCTCAACTTACCGATGCCGCACAAGATTCTAGACCACGAGTAAGCCACTCACTATTGCTTCTCCCTCAATTCAATCTAGCTATCCACTTGCCACTTCATGCGGTCATACTCATGCCATGCCACCCGAGAAGCAGATATCGTGCAAAACTGGTCGTCCGGTTCCTGTGTCTGCAATAGTAGCCATAGGAAAGGAAAAAGGACAGTGTACATGAATCGTTATCTTTGTATCGGATTTGGGTACAAGATAAATATAATACTACTACTACCACTAGCTACTTAATTTCACCACAAAAAACAAAAAAAAAACTACACTAGGAGCATAAAACATATCGTTTGATCGTGTCATATGTTGACAGCTTAGTTAACCGCAGACTAGGGAAGGTTAATTCAAAAATATCTAAGCGATCGTGGCAGTCTGATTGACCATCCAACTCCCTGTTTTATATACCGACTACGTTGGTGTTGTACATATATAAATATACAAAGTATATAAAATACTTGCATACGTCGCAATTGCATAACTTGTTTTGTAGAAATATTTATTTTTCATGAAATAAAATTATCTCAAACAACAAAACGGAGTACACCATTGCAAAGAGCTCGTCGAGACGATCAAAATTGATATATTATTTGCTATATTTGGAGCTCGAATAAAAAAGATATCAATTTTGCAAATTAAAAAAGAGGCGTCAAAGATCAAGCATGATGCCATGCAAAACCGCTTTGAGGAAACGGGCAGGTCTCCTAAAGTGAACTTTTTCGAGAGTTGGAGAGCCAATGTTATCCGATTTTGAAGTTGGAGATTGAAATCCATACTTCTACGATAGTTGGAGGTCCTAAAGTGGACTTTACCGTAAATAAAACACGCAGAGACAAAGCCAAGCTTCTTCTACTGATCTGATCCTAGCTATTCCTCTCGCACATATATATACTGTCTGAAAACTTCACTTCAACAACAGTGCATAGCAGCACTGTTCTTGTAAGAAGAAGTTGATGCTCGAGACTAATTACAGTCCAAAGTAAAAAAAAAAAACTTGCATGCCACGTTGGAGTAATGGCCCGGCCATGCATTCAATAATCAATACCATACCACCGTCCTCTCTCAGCTCTGCACACTGCACTGCAGATTGCATCGTCAGGACGCCCGCCCATCCAGCCAGGAATTCAACTCACTTTTGCAAATCAAGCTAGGAAAATGACACCACTTTTGGTAGCTAGCAGCTAAATTTATTAAACAAAGGCAAAAAATTTGACACCACTTTTGGTAGCTAGCAGCTGAAAATTTATTAAACAAAGGTAAAAAATTTATGAATCCCCTGAAAAATTATATAAATTATAAGAAGCTGTCCTATATATATGACAATTGACAGGATATGGTCGTCGCTATCACACACTTACAACACGTACACGCAACAACACCGACACAAACGAAACCTGCATGCAGAAAACAACATCTGGATTCTGCATTCTGGACAGGACGACGACTGAAACAGATCGAAACTGATGGCATGCACTAGCTACTAGCAGCCAGGGAGTCACACCCTCAAAAACTCGAGATCATATCCAAGGAACGGACAAGCACGCGGTCGAATTGCATGCACGCAACAATGGCGATGAAGCTGAAGCTGCAGGGGGGATGACGACGTGAGATCACGTGCGCAGCTGCTGCTTCTGGAGGTCGATGGCGAGGACGGTGCTGAGGTTCATGGGCGCGATGTATTCCACAGAGCCCGACATGAACTGCTGCACGATGAGGCGGTTTGCGCGCTCCGTGGGGTGGAAGGCGTCCCAGAACACGTAGCTGTCGCGGTCGGCGCAGAGGCTAGACACCATGGTGCACAGCCCCATCCCGTTGAACCTTCCCTGGCCGCAGCACGCCTCGGTGGCGGTCGCGAAGCCGTACGCCTTGGGGTCATCGATGAAGTCGTCGTGGATCCGCTTCATGTTCACGCCGACGAAGACGTCGCCGCCGTGGCGCGCGTTGAGGTCCTGCAGCAACGCCATGAGCCGCGGGTTGTACATGTCGGCGGCGCGCTGCAGCTCCGGGTCGCAGGTGCCGTCCAGGCTGTGCAGCGCCAGCTCCGCCGGGACGCACCCGATGGGGCCGACGCCCTGCACCAGCACCCGCCTCGCGCCCAGGTCGTAGAGGTGCTCCAGGATATGGGCGTACTCCGACAGCACATAGGAGACGTAGTCCGGCAGCGAGAACTCCCGCGACCGCGCCGAGTAGGGCACCAGGTAGTAGTTGTTCACGAAGTCGTTGCCGCCCAGCGTGATGAGCACCAGCGCGCCTCGCACCAGGCGGGACGTCGCCTCCGCGCCGATCAGCGCGCTCAGACGCTTCTGGTACTGCTCGAAGTAGCGCAGCTGCTTCGCGATGTGGATGATGTTGGCCTGCAATGCAATGCATGCACGGACATTATTATTGCACATTGGTTGCACCACAGTTCTGAGTTCTGAGCTCGTCGTCGTCGCAAGCAATCTATCTATCATCATGACTGCTTCATGAACTCTACTAGTACTATGCAACGTACGAATTGGATTCCGGTGTCGTTGAGGATGCCGACGCCGGCGGACGCGAAGTTGGCGCCGACGAGCATCTTGTGGCCGTCGAGCTCGGGGCTCAGGTACGGCAGCACGGGCTCCGCGCCGAGGTGCTCACCTGCGTGCGTGCATGCAAGGATGCATTCGTGCACCAAGTTAGTAACTGGCCGACAGGACTCGAACGCTATATTATATGCTACTCCAGTGACGACTCAACTGATGATGTCCGGCACGTTCTTGCCGTTGCTGAACCGCCCCGTGGCGCGGTGGTCCGGCGTGTCGATGCCGTAGGGCGGCGAGTCGGCGCGCGCCGCCGTGATCAGGTAGTTGTTGTTGCCGTTGTCCACGAGGGAGTCGCCGAAGACGAAGAAGGCCCGGGCCGCGTCGGCGCCCCGCGCCGCCTGGAACACGGCGAGCGCCCCCAGGCAGAGCGCGAGGTACACGAGGCGCCAGGTGGGAGACGCCATTGTGGGCGGCGCTGTCAGTGTCAGTGTCTGTCAGTGTCACTGAAATGTGATGGACTGCACTTCACTGACGCGAGCGCTTGGAGATAGCTTGGAAGGCTCGTCATCGTCGCGGGCCCTTTTATAGCGTCCTCGTCGCCCATGCCGCTGGGAATGGATGATGGATCAGAGAAGAGAAGACAAGAATGAGTAGTCACTCGCGTCACGTCCGATCGGTGGTTGGTGCCCGCCATGGCGCCATTACTGCACTGCTGTTCTGTTCTCCACAGTCTTGGGCCTTAATAAATCCTCCTCTGCTCCTAATTCCATTTCCATTTCTGTGCTGCAGTTTCTTCTCTTCTCCAAGACCACTTGCCCAGCCCAGCTTTCTTCGCATCAGGTCACACTTTCAGATGTACACAAATCGGGTGTTCACTTTACTTCTACATTTGCATAAACAAACGCAATCTGTTCAGTTCAGTCCAACCTGACATGAGTTTGGCATCGATCCAGCACGGATCTACTACGGAGAACGCAGGACCGAGTCTGTCTGACAGGTCTGAATCAATGCCAAAGAGCCGAATAAAGCTCAACTCAACTGCAAGGAGCGGCGCATCAGTGAGCTTTCTATAAACTCACGGCGTTGTTTCCCATGCATCCCAGGTTTGCTACTAGCTGAAACGGGAATGCCAGTCTGCCACAAGGGTTTACATTACAGCGACGATCAGATTCAGAGCAGGCAGCATGGTATTGGTATTCATGAGGGCAGTTGGATCTATCCATCTTATCGCCCGTGTAATGATGCCTGGGGTTAGATGAGGATGAGCTGTATGTAGCGAGCTATAGATGGAGCGAGCCTTGACAGTGAGCAGGACTAGAGTAAGATCGGTTTGGGTGAGTAGTTTGCATCAACATTTGCATGCTCTGTTATTCTGTTAATGTCTCTCCTCTCATCTCATACTGTCATGCAGCAGCAACCAAGTCAGTTGTATTTTTTACTACGGTACTAGTCAAATGTTAGTATGTTACCATTTTTGCTAGGTTACTAGGAGCACTGCATTAAGTGGGTACTATCCAATTTGAAGTTATTACTCGATCGTAAAAAGATCTAGTGGATCATCAGTACACAGATGAATTGCAAGAACAGGCCTACCCGATCGAGTACCAGTACCAGCACCAGGCACCACCTAATCAATCAACACTGTTGCACTGGACTGCTCCTGATCATACAGGAGTAACTGCAACTGCTAGGCGTTCATGGATCACCAAAACTCACTGGCGAAATGAAATCTAGAAGAAACTGAATCCGGCCAAGCACGTAGGGGCCCTTCGTCCCTTCCCAACCCTCAACCGCACTGCATTTACTGCTGTCTACTGGTATCATCATCGTCCATGCCTCTTCGTTCCCATGTAAATCTAGACTGTACTTGGAATTTCTTTTTCACACACAGTGTTCTTATCTGAACTCTGAATTTATTTACCACTGCATTTCCATATACTCTTGCCATACACTCTAACACTCTAGGGCTCATTTTGCATCAAGATACAGTACAGGTTTTGTGCAGAAACAAACCAGACAGTCTGTTGTTGAAGTGTTTCTGCACCGTTGAAGTGAAGTGAAGTTTGCAGACAGTCTGTGTTTTATTATTTACCGAGTGGGACCGCAGGTGGAGTGGAGGAGACAAGGAAGTGCCCTACAATTACAAATGATCCGGACGGAGTGCATGCAATGCAGCCACAACTTCACCTTCTTATGGAGGCCATTGAATTCTGGTGTTCCCTGGACTGGTCAGGAGGATGAAAATGAAAACAAGAGAGTAAAGGCGAGCGGTAGAGATCTCTCATCTAGGAGGAGCTGGAGTCGGTTCAAGTACAGAGTTTCTACTCCTCATCCTGTCGGTTGCTCGAATTGGCCAGAGACTCTGAGTCTTCGTGAAGCCAAGTACACAACACGACCGTAGGCGTTCATGGATCCCACCGCGGCATGCAGCTGCAGCGGCAACGGCAGCGCCACCCACCGGCAGTAGGCGGCAGCTGGCCAAGTAATTGGAAGGTCGCACGGATCGACGAAACATGGCACGGCCCGTGTGCTTGGCCTGCCTGGTGAATGGTGATTGGCTCCGGCTCCGGCGTCCAGGACGGCCAGTGACCTCAGGGATTTTTTTTTTATTTTTAACATATTTTTTAAACTAGTATATTGTCCGTGCTAACGCTACGGTGACATATAGGATAACACATTAAATAGTCATTCATGGAATTCCAGTGACTGTTGCTGCCATGGTTAGAAGCGACCCAACTACTTGTTTACTGAAGGTGAACTGAATGTGTACCAAAGAATAAATGAACAACAATGTATAGAACTTCACCTTCACCTAAAAAAATGTACAGAACAACAATTGGTACTAATATGGATTGTACTCAATGGCCTATCTTAAAATAAGAATTCAGCATAATATAAATGCCTGTTCAAACAACAAAGACAATGAAGTTCATGGTCTGTTTCCACTGATAAGCTGCAACATACTACCTCTCCAATGAACTGAACATGAAAAAAATCATAGATCATGTGTTGTTGCACTGATAGTAATTTTTGCCCATGCCATTTAACATATAAAAAGTTAAAACATTTTGAATTTCTCACATTCATAAGATCCATCGTCTCATCTTGCATGTTCTGTAGATAACAGAAGCTAGGGTATATGGTTAGACAAATAAAGTTACCAAGTATGATCCCCTGGATCACATTTGTATGATCCCTGCTGCGGTGCCCATGCTAACACTATGGTAAAATACAAAAAACTACTGTCAGACTCTCTCACTCGTCATGTACGGCTTCTTCTTTCTCTCACAGTTGGTCTTCCTCTCTCCCTGGGCTCCCCGGTGGCCGGGAAGGAGAGGGCAAGGCCGCGGCGGAGCTCGTGCCCACAATTGCGCAGCGGCGGTGGAGCCCACGAGGCCGCGGCGGAGAACCCAAATAATGGAAGAAGCTATCTGAATGTCATTAGGAACACAAGGTGTCACAATATAACCCTAAAATCAATTATCCAAAAATTGGCTGAAAGGAATAGCTCACCGTAATTTTGTTCTTTTCCAGTTCTGAGTCCCTTTCCTCCTCTCGCTTCTTTTGGAACATAAATATTATAAAATTGCAATGGAGCATTTCACAAATGCACCGGCCATAAGTGCATATGCATTAAAAGAACAAACTTGCAGCAATCCATATCAATAAACAGATGGGACTGAACTGATATGAACATATGTGAAAATTTTGTGTGCCGTGAAAATGGAGGCATATGCATGACTGTACAATGAATCAGAAGAACAATATATCTCTTAAGGAAGTCGTTACAAAGGTTGTCCAGAAAAAAAAAATCTAAAGCATTGATTACAGTCAAGTGTGCCTAAACCGGGCTCATGTTGGGTTTCAACTCTAGCCTACCCCAACTTGCTTAAAAGGCTTTGTTGTTGTACTGATGACAGTCAAGTAAGCACAGATATTTCTTTCTTTCTTTTTTCTTGTGATGGAAGCACAAATGTTTAGCCGACCCCAACTTGCTCGGGACTAAGGGCTGTTTACTTTCAAGCCCTGGTCTGAGGCTCTGGGGCAGGCAGGTCCATCCAACCATAGGCGTCTAAAATCCGATGTCTGGGATGGGATGGATGCCTGCGCCAGGCATTGATTGCCAGGCTTTAAAGCAAACAGGCCCTAAGGATTTGCTGGTTTTGTTGTTGTCGTTGATTTGTTGTTTGATGGAAGCAAAGAAGTTTCAAAGAAAAAAAACAATCGTTTCAGTTTGTAGACATAAGTTTTGAGTGACTTACATTGAGGTAGACAGTAACATCAGTATTGATGATATCTCCATCCTGCCATGAAGATTAATTGTAAGTTTCTCTATTTACTCGAAGTAGTCATCTCTGGATTTTGGATTGCTTACCTCAAGGGGACGAGAATCTGGTATCCCATGACAGATGCATTCATTCACTGAAGTGCAGACACTCTTTGGGTATCCACAATAACCAAGAGGTGAAGGATATGCTCCATTATCAATTATCATTTGGTGCACTGCTTTATCAATCTCATCAGTCGTTATGCCTGGCTGTCAATAAGATAAAATCATTCTCTGGTATTTAATCTTAGATCTCCAAGTATATACTAAGTTGAAGAATAGCAAAGAATCATACATCTGATGGAAAGAAAACCAACTGCCTTGCTTCCTTCCTATAGTGCTACCTATTTCAATATTTCCAGATATAAACGACACTAAGAAACAAATGACACAACAAGACTTAATTATTGCCCATAATAGAGAAGATGAGAGTGATAATTTAGAAGAAAAAAAGGAGAGTTATTGTTCATAATTTCGTTCTGTTCAAAGCCTTAACACTACGGAGGAAACATCAAACAGTAGACTACTTTAAAAACTGTAGAATGAATGAGGTTTATCTAGTGGAAACAATAGTTTACTGATTGATAAGATCAAGCTTTTGTAGCAACATGACATTACCTTTACAAGAATCCCAGCAAACTTCAAAACCTGTGCAGCAAGCTTTCCAGAAGCTCTCATGCACTCGATCCCTTTCTCATCATGTATTTCAGGTCCATTATTCATACCAGGTCTTTGTTGACGAGAATTGACATATGGAGGCCGTTGTATATGATTGGGAACACTAAGGCGTGGAAATACTTTCCCAGGACGCAGTCGCAGGCGTCTAGGGTTGTTTTCTGGTGCATCGTCCCGACTTCTGTGAAAGTTATGTCACAGTAATACATTTAATTGTGGACCCAGATGTGTAATTCAAACATAAATGACACTTAGGCCATAATGTACGCATAATTTTTGCAGCAGATTTAAGACATGGTCCACATTCCATAAGGTCAGTAGCTTTTTGAAATTTCATAGTGCTAAATTAATCTCAATCTCTGGAAGTACTGTGTATCTAATTCTATCAACTGTGTAAGCATTAAATCACTCCAAGTGTAAACTGAAAACAACACAAAGATATTTGTAGAAAGAAAGTCAGCCAGTCACATTAATCAGTGAGGCATGACTAGACCTGTTCAGCCTTCAGCTGCAAAATAATTCCATAAACCAGAGTTCATGTAATTTGAGTGATAAGTAAAACTAGGAGAAAATTATTGATTTCATATGCCCAGGAGGTACACTTCAGAGCAGCTTAGATGCTGTACTAGTTATGCAACAAACCAGTAGCAGAAATATGACGCGTGTACGGGAAACTAAAGCTCACCTCCTGTTAAATAGGATATCCACCAATTTGCATAGCGTTCTCGTCGCTTGATACGTCACCCGCCTGCTGCCTGCAAGCAAGAGCCGTCTCAGCGAACTTCTGCTCTGGGCCAACGCGATGAAACCAGGGGCACAGCCGCGGAGTGGCAGTGCGGTAGATGGGGGCGGGCAGGTACCTGGGACAGCGGAGCGGAGGAGGAGCGGCCTGCCGGAGAGCGCGAGGCGGTCGCCGAGGAAGGAGGACAGGAGACGCGGCGACGACAGGCTCGCCATGGGCGGCGGGGCGGAAAGCAAAGCGAGAGCTGCTCCCTGTTTGTGGCGTGCGGCTTGTGTGGTTTGGGGCGGGGTGAGGCGGCGAGCGCCTGGCGGGCTGCAGCGCCGGCCTGCGGCCTGCCTGCCTCTAGGGCGCGGCGGTTCTCACTAGCGTAGTAGGCCGTGGGCTGAGTCGGCCCAAGTTTTTTTTCCGATACTAAAACGTGGAAGCCAAGTAAGCCCACATTTAAATTGATTCGGGGGCCCGAACCTGCGACTTGCCGAGACGACCCCTTTCCCTTTTGTCATCTGACTATCGGAGCCTCGGCCGCCGCCGCCGCTACCACCTCCTTGCGCCATGGCGGAGAAGTCGCCGGCGGCCGACGTGGAGGCCGGTCTCCTCGCCCACCTCAACTCCGCTGGTGAGGTCCCCGACTCCCGCTCCTTCGCCTCCTCCCTCGGCGTCTCCCACCTCGAGCTCGTGGGCGTCATCAAGAGCCTTTCAGCTTTCCGCATCGTCGAAAGCAAAGTACTCTCCTCCCGCTCTTTCCACTGTCGGACACCAGGCTTTGTAGCCAACTATCAAACTCCGAGACTTGACAGCGGGGCTCTTGCTTGCCTTCCCGCAGGACATCATCAAGGAGGCATGGGTGCTCACCGAAGAGGCCAAGGGCTACGTCGCCAAGGGCTCCCCCGAGGCACAGCTCGTCGCTGCAATCCCACCGGAGGGCGTCTCCAAGGACGCTCTGAAGGTGAGGTTTTTGTTTCAAGGGATTTGTTGTTAGACTTCACTGGAGTGTTTTGCTTTTGCTGGGTACTGATGTGTAGATTTGGTGTGCTTAGGCAAAATTGGGAGATGCTTTCGATGTTGGCATGAAGGCAGCTGCGAGGAACAAGTGGATAGGGTTCGAGAAGGGGAACAAGGACTTAGTCCTTAGGAAGGTATGGATTTGAATTTGTTGTGAATGTGCGATGTGGGTATGTAGACAGCTGCAGCAAGCAACTTTATAAGATATATTGTTTGCCGTAGTGTTTTTTCTCTAATTTCTGTCCATATCTAATACCCAAACGATTGAAATATTGTTGTACTATAAGGGCCTGTTTGGACACATGGATAGTTACTAGTTGGGGCTATCAATTAGCCCAAATTAGATATGGTTGGCTATCTAGTTGGCTAACAACTAGTTGAAGACTTGGCTAAAGAGTTAGCCCACCTATTAGCTCTCCTGTTTGGATGCACTAGAGCTAATTTTTAGCTAGCTAGCAATTAGCTCATGTATCCAAACAGACCCTAAATTTTACTGCACATAATAAGGGCCTGCTTGATACAAGTGCTAATTGCTAGCTAGCTAAAATTAGCTCTAATACATCTAAACAGGAGGGCTAATAGGTGGGCTATTTTTTTAGCTAAGTCTTTAACTAATTGTTAGCCAACTAGCTAGCCAACCTTAGCTAATTTGAGCTAATTTTTAGCCCAACTAGTAACTAGCCCGAGCTCATCCAAACAGGTCCTAAGTACATTGGCTCGAGTTGGCTTGTCCCTGTGTGTTGTGCTTTTATCTGTGGTTAAGCTTCTATCTTAAGATAAGATTTCACATGCGGCACTTGTGCTTCATTTTTTTATTCAGGTTGAGAGCGTAATGGATGAGTTGCAAGAGCAGCTTAGAAGACTAGAGAATGGGGAGGTTTGTGTACTCTTGGCTCATCATTTGACCCCCTATCCCCACCCTCTCAGCTGCATTGTCAATAGGAATCATTTCATCACTGTGTGATCCTTTTTAGCACATTGGAGCATCGGCATTTACTTCCAAGTATTGTGTACAAATGCAGTTTATATTGTACTAAAAATATTCCTTAAAAATAGATATTATACTAAAAATACTTTTTGCTATTTTGTCCCTTCATTTTGCTCTGCGTTCTTCCCCTTATAAAAAGGAAAAGCATTTTGATGTAGGCTGTTCCTGATAAAGTGATCGATGATTTGAAGAGAAGGAAACTTATTACGAAAGAGTAAGTACATTGGATCTGAGGAGATGGGTTCCTTTTTGTACTATGTACTAATGTGGTAGTACAGATTTGTTCATATACCTTGATGCTTAACAGGAAATCAATTTGGCACTCTCTAAAGAAGGGGCCTGAGTTTGTTTTAAAGAGAAAAACTTTGGCTACTGATGTGACAACAGAACACCTTAGGAGGTAATTTTATACCATTTTTTCCAAGTTAGTTTGGTGACTGTTTGATCAAATTACTAGTTTGATGTATCTACATATAAAATTAAACATTTCAGGTTGCACTTTAGTTTGCCTGCCTGGTATTATCTGTTCATCATGTTAATTTGTTATTTTCAATGTGCATTTTTGCAAATCATTGCAATACCACGTGATCTGCTTCTGAATGTTTTTATTTGGATCTGGAATGTCTGCTTCATTATCTGGGGAAGTTGTGATATTTAAATTTTTTATTTCGGAACGACTTTCTGCCTTTTAGTGGTGACTGGAAGGACCTTGAATTCAAAGACTATAATTATGGAGCTCAAGGGCAACCTATAGCGAAAGGTTATGTGCAGCCTTTGATGGAGGTATCTCCTACAGTTTCTGCAATTTTCCATACCACTTTTCTGATAAATTGAGAAATTCCATAATATTACTTGTGATTTACTTTCAGGTTCGTGAGGCAATCGAGAACATCTTTATTATGATGGGGTAAATAAAAAACAATTTGTTTGTCATATTTGTATTCAGCAAAGTGTTTAACAAATTATTAATTCATGTATTGTCGGTGCAGATTCACTGAGATGCCAACCAACAATTTTGTTGAAAGCAGGTGTGTTCTTCTAACATTCAAAGAAAACAACCATATACATATAGCACAGCATATGATGACGATGTGCTGCTTTAAGATAAGATGACAATGTGCTTGTTTTAAGATAAGACAAGAAATGCAGCTTTCTACGTGCCACATTTTATAAGTATTACTAATTACTAATACTTGTTATCTTTTTCAACAAACTTCTATTTGACATATCAGCGTGAATTTCTGGGCCAATATAACATATAGATTATATTATAGCTTGCTGGTTTAAGGGTCCCTATATTCCTAATTTTGCATGTTTTTGCTGCTTTGCCAGCTTCTGGAATTTTGATGCACTGTTTCAGCCTCAACAGCATCCTGCTCGGGATTCACATGATACATTTTTCCTGAATGGTATGTTTGAGATACTATACAATCTCATAATCAAAGCTGGATGTAGATCTTAGTTGTACATCAAATTTTGCAGCCCCAGCAACTACACAACAGTTGCCTGAGGACTATCTTGAGAAAGTAAAGCTAGTTCATCAGTCTGGTGGTTATGGCTCCAAAGGGTATGACAGATATTATTTAGGCACATTATTAGCTTAAAAAAGTTTTGGTTATATAAGATTGTTGTCTGCAGATATGTTTATGACTGGAAACGGGATGAAGCGGAGAAGAATCTTCTCCGTACTCATACAACCGCTGTTTCCACAAGAATGTTATACAAGCTTGCTCAGGAGGTAATTCAGTCAATGTTGTTTACTGTACTTGGAACTTTGGTGATCTTAGTTTGTCCAACTTATTGGCAATGGCATTACATTTTTTTCATTTCCTATTGAATGGTTCATGACATTTATCTTTTTATTATGGTTGCCATTGATCAGAAACCTTTTGCTCCAAAGAGATATTACTCCATTGATCGGGTTTTCCGCAATGAAGCTGTTGACCGGACTCATCTTGCTGAATTCCACCAGATAGAGGGTAGTTTTCTGTTTCCTTGCTTATATGTAGTAGTGTATTTGTTATCCCAACACAAAAGGAGTAAACTTTTCTTTCATTGAATGTAGCTAATTTTGCATTTCTCATATATCTTGTAGGTGCACAAAATTATATTGGTGAACATATGCACAAACTCAATCTCGTCCCTTGAATTGAACCGTGGCCCATGTGGGAGGTGGGAATTAACTCATCCCTCTTAAGCTGACATAAGCACAATTGGATTTAGTCCAATTAAAAGGTGGACGAAGGGGATGAGGTGATTCCACCTTTTACTTGGGCCATTAAGATTGGATAGGAGATTGAGTTTGTGCATATCTTCACCAATATACTCTTGTGCACTTGATATTTCCTCTATTTTGTATTATGTAACCATTTTGCCATGCAATGCTTCTTTTTTTCAGGACTTATCTGTGATTATGGTTTGACGCTTGGTGATCTGATTGGTGTATTGGAGGATTTCTTCTCGAGTCTAGGTGATAATTAGTCTGTTTTATCACAATTCATAATATATCATGCAAAGATTATACCCTAATTGTTGTCATCCCTTTTCTTGTTCTTAGGCATGTCCAAGCTGCGTTTCAAGCCTGCCTACAATCCATATACTGAACCCAGCATGGAAATTTTCAGGTCAGATACAACTCTTGCTCTGCTGGTAGTTTCATTTTATGATCAAACTAGACTCACTTTGCACTTTTTTCAGTTACCATGATGGTTTGAAGAAATGGGTGGAGGTTGGTAATTCAGGCATGTTCAGGCCAGAGATGTTGCTTCCCATGGGACTGCCAGAAGGTGTTAATGTTATTGCATGGGGTCTTTCACTTGAAAGGTAGAACAGTGCTTTCTCACTTTCAGGTTGTGATTTGTCAGATTAAATTGCTTTGTAATATTGTTGATGAACTAAGCAGAATCTATAGTTTGATTTATTTTGTGAAATGCCATGCTTCTTTTGAAGTCTTGGACATAATATGTTTTTTTTTGTCCCTTTTCTCCAGAGATCGTAAATTATATAATTATTGCAGAGAGTAAAATGTATGGATGGTCCCTAAACTTGTCCTGGGGTATCATCGAGGGCTCTGAACTCTCAAAATGCATTTTTAGGTCCCCAAACTTGTCCTCGGGTGTCATCCAGTTCCAAAACTGTCATAGTGCGGAGCAGGTCAGGGCCCATTTGGATCTGGATTGCATTTTAAGAGTTTGAGACCTAGATGACACTTAAGAACAAGTTTAGTAACCTAAAAATGCATTTTGAGAGTTGTACCTAAACCCCTTGATAAGTTCAAGAACCGCACATGTATTTTACTCTATTGCAAATATGTACTCACAATATTCTATTTCTGAATCCAGGCCAACGATGATCCTTTATGGTATCGACAACATAAGGGACCTGTTTGGACCAAAGGTACCTGTGCTATACTGTTGTGACGAAATATTTCCTGTTAATGAGCCTAACCCATGTTTTGTTCTTTCCAGGTTGATTTCAACCTCATCAAGAGCAACCCACTATGCCGGTTGGGACTATAGTGACTAGTGCGGTAGAGGGACTCTGAAGCTCGATCACAATGGGCCAAAGATTTTGTTTTCCTTTTTTGTTGTTGTACTCCCTTGAAGTTTAAACACCGATTCATGTACTCTTTAGCAGAGAATCCAAAATGCAATGTAGTATTGTATGAGATCATAGGGGAATGTTTATAGCAAACTTTTGTTTTGTATATCTCAGTTTATTATTGCTAGCAAAATAGAATGCTAAATGTTTTTCTATTTGTTATACCATGAATCTCTGATTTTTATTGTCCACTTACATCCGCAGGTTTCAAATCGTGGTGTTCAGGGATTGGGAATATTAATTGTTCAGGAATTTTTAATTGTTATACCGTTGCTAACTGTTGCAGCATGCGCATCGAGGATGAAGCCCCACTCCATTTTTATTTGCTCCTTTAACTCTGGAAAATATTTTTTTGAAATGGATCAAAATACGAGGAAACTAAACTGCATCTAAGCTGGTGTAATGCTGAAGGCGCCTTTCTTTAGCATTTTGTCCTTACTAATCTTCCGAAATTAAAACTTTGAAATGAAACAAATAAAGGCCTGTTTAGATACCATGAATTGAAACCAATATCTAAAAAGTGCTTCCTATTTGTGAACCGCCCAAAAGACATCTAAATGCCATCCAGTAATGGTCAATAGCCATCGTCTGGAAAACTTTAGAAAACCCAGACATCAAAATGGAAGTGTTGTCTTGTGACCGAGCTTATGTATTTCCCAAAGCATGGCAGTTTTCGGGATTAAAGCAAACTGCGTCAAAATTGTGGCCAGACATTCTTTTGGTTGACGACTGCAGATTGAAGTCAGATAAAAAACAATGACTAGAAGAAAATCCACTTAATGACCAATGACTATCAAAATTTATTACAGTTTTGGAGCAGAATAGCAGTAGAGATCTAGAAATCGAAGTTCCCATGTTTCCCTTGTAGACTCGATGTATTCCTCTCTGAACGTTTGATGCGCTGCTTACCATCACTGTCAGCTCCAGCACCTGCTTTGGTCCTTCCAATGCCTAGTTTCGGCAAGCCTCGATTCAATCCATCCAGCAAGACGCATGCTTTGCATAATTTCTGACCCAACAGAAGTTCATCAAATCCAGTTACTTCCACAGAAAATGTTAAGGATTTGTAAGATATATAACAAGGGCAAAATCATGCAGTTCGAATTATTGGGTAAACAATTAGTATATGCCGTGCATACAAAGCTAAGGACCCATGGCACATTGTCGTGTTTCGAATAGGTTAGGGAGTAAACAAGGCGTCTCGAAGCATTAATGCATGTGTAAGCTATTTCAATGGAATTAGTCTTCACTGTGTGGGCTGTTCTTCAAATATACTAATTGCTTATGAAGTACCTTAGCAGAAGCAGAGTGTTTGACTATTCATGTTCCATATGCATAAAAGGAATTCTATTGATTTCATGACAATACCTGACTAGAAATGTAGCCACATCGTTCACATGTTCCTTGCTCGGGCATCCTTGTTGTTGTGGAGATTCTGAAATTTTCGCCAGATTTTATGATGTCTAGTATAGCTCTAGGCCTGCAACATTGATTGTCTACTGAGCCAAGGCTACTGAAAGAACATGCAGACATCAATTGAATATATGGAGAAATTTCTTTATTTACCTCATTCTTTCTAAATCTTTAATAAATTCACGAGCAAAACCACGGTATGCATTTGGTGAATAGATGCCTGGATCATGATATAACCAAATTAACCCATTCTCAATTCTAACAGAATCGTGGCACAGGTCAATAAAATTAATAGATTTGTGGTATATGTTACATCAAGTTTGGAGAATGAAGTTGAGCAGAAGTGTACTTAAGCATATGGTATTAGTGTAAGAAAAACACAGCATAACGTATAGATGCTAGAGCAGACAGTGATGATTGACCTATATTTTGATTTAACTACCATCATAGCATCTTCTGATATTGGAATAAAGTGATCTCCTTCAATGTGGAAAAAAATTAAAAGAATTGAACAGAAAAGGAACCAGACATTACATTCTGTGGAAAAGTAATCCAGCTTTTTGAAGTATGCATACGTGTCACAGAGTTAAGGATTTAAAATATACTTGAATAAAGTCAGTGTAGTAAAAAAAACGAAAATATAAGATATTTCATAGACAGGATATATGACAATCTCCTTTTCATAGGTGTATTTGAAAGGCTTGCATCTTGGTATTGGCCCATCTTCACCAGTAGTTATAAAGGTACATCTACTTAACCTATAAAGGAGCAACACATCATCACAAAATCAACCAAAAGTACAAAAACTAAACTCTGGAAACAGCATGTCCTACAACCAACATATACCTTGCAATATCACCACGCAGAATGTTCAGCAAGACAGTTTCTGCAATGTCATCTGCATTATGCCCAGTTACAATCTTATCAGCTTTCAGGAGAGCAGCACCTCGATCTAATGCCTACAGAGAAAAGGATTGTCTGTGAAGATGGAGTAAAGAACTAAAGATAGATGCGAAAGGCTTGCAGGTAAAGACTACCTGACGTCGAAAAACTCCACAGAAAGTACAATTGTTTTTTAGACCAATTGCTTTCACAATATCATCCATTGTCCAGCCATACAAATCTTTATAGGAAACAATCTTCAGTGGCAAGCCATACTGTAACAAGGGAATAGTAGAACTCACTGAATTTAAATAGAACACAATAAAATATTGACAGTCAAAGGTTCCAGAAAACTGAGCGAGTGTTTCTGTGAGCGGCGGACCTGTATTTCATTCCTTTTAACAGTTTCTAGTGAGTCGTCTCTATATCCTGTGATTCCTTCATCGACGGATAAAAGAAACAGATCAAGACCATAGTTGTGATGACGGTTTAACTCCGATAACACATATGCAAGCACGGTTGAATCTGCAATACAGAAATAAAAGAAATGTTGGAATCTGCAGGGAGATCAAGCATATTTAAACAAGAAGCATGTGGACATGTGGTATTTAACTAAAAATGCATTAGAAAAAACTCTCCTTTGTACTGTGGCTAAACTCAAATGGCACAGTAATAACTACTATGGATGGTTTAATAATGCTCATGAATCATGATAGAATGGCACTTAACCTACGAAACCTTATACTGAATAGATCAAAGACAGCCATAAGCTCATAAGGCTCCAAAGAAGACGGTAACCACCTTCCATATTGCTATGTAGTTTAGTAGTTATTTCCAGAAGAGATTAGACATGTATTATGAAGCATATGTATATATTTAAGAATTTAAAATGTACAGAAGTGAAAAGTAAGATGTGCATTGCTATAAATAGTACTATCTGCTACTTCTTTACCAACTGATGGCATGTCCAAATCTGGACTTACCTTTTCCACCAGAAGCTCCGATTGCCACCCGCTCACCAGCTTTAAACAAAGAATTCTCGACAATAGTTTGATGAATTTCGTCCTCAAAGACGATATAGAAGCATTCCCTACAGATCTAAAAGAAAGAATCTAAGCAATGTTTTAAATAAACATAATTATGTAATCATAAGGACATCCATGGCATCCACATAAGCACCCCTTTAAAGAAATCTAAGCTCATCACTGTATTCACTAACATCCACAAAACGAGATGTCACCATAAGGATAGAATGTACACGTTCAAAGGAACACAAATATGCAGTAATCACACAAGCTGTGTAAATAAAACATCATATAAACAAAAATCTTCACAAAAAACTCATAACAATTACACCAAAAGGACACCATTTCTTCACCCCCACTTTGCAGAACTACAGCAGGAACAGGTGACCTAACCTTAAATTATTACAATTAAGCTACCCCGAGTAAATTGAAATTCACTATAACATCACAACAAATTACAACGGAAGCGTGAAGATGGCGAGGGCAGGCGCACCTGTTCTAGGGTTTTGGGCCGCTTCAGCGCGGCCTTCCTCTCGCCGCACCTCACGCAGAGGCGACTCCCCGCCCTTGGCGGCGGCGGCCTCGCGCCGTCAGCGGCGGGGCCGTCCATGGAGTGGGGTTGAAACCGAGGTCGCCGCGCCTGCGAGAACCTTCCGGAGGAGACAAGCAAACGCACCGTTGATTTCCGATCGGAGGGATGAAGATAGCTCGACACGTAGATGTGCGCGCTACGGCGCAGGCGATTGACGTCGAACTGAGACGGGAGCTTCGGACTGGTTCGAAGATACGGGCAGCGGCGCCGCCGTTAGGGAGAGGGGAGGTGATCCGGGCGGCGGTTTGGGGAAAGGCGCGAACAGTTAAGTGGGCTCCGGCTTTGGGCTTTTCACCCAACTAGGACCGATTTGTGAGGGCCAAGATTGAGCTGGATTCCGGCTTGCCCTGAATCCCTGATGGGCTGATGGGTCTTCATGGGCTAGATTGCGACCCAGTCTAGTTTTCTTCCAGAAAAGCCTTCTCTCAAGCCTTCTCATTAGTATCAAGCCTGCCTGCCATTATTTTAGTTTAAACTTTTGTTCAAAATATTTGAATATATAGGTGAACTAAAGGTAATTTATTTTTTATTTTCATTATAACTACTCTTTTCATTAGTCGGGAAATGTGGTTGCTTTTTATCATATAAACTAAAATATCCATGTCTCTTCCACCCCTAAGAAAGTATCATACTATGCTTTTTTGTCCATCCATCATCTCCCCACTAAAAACTCTCTTTAGTCACCTTTTCTTTTTATCTCTCTCTCATCATCATCACAAAAGCTGTAGCGTATGATAGCTTAACTAATGGAAAATCCATGCATGCACAAAATCACTATGACCTTTTTAGCCTACGCCGTGCCGAAAATTAAAAGGGAAAAAACGAGGAACGTATGGTCGGTAAAAGGTAAGTAATTTTTGTTTTCATGTAACTAGTATCGTAATGATGACGCAAATTCAGCCTGGGAAAAAAGATCCTCGGCGCCGCCCGGCTCAATCTATCAAAATTCAAAGGCGATCATCGGTCCGACGATTCCACGGCTCGTGAGGCCATTTACGCTTATCACTTCTTTAACGCCGCCAGCGGACTATATTTGCAAAGCGCCCGTGCGCATGATGGCCATGAATGCCGGAAAGTCAAACATCTTACTTGCATTGATGGAGGAGTATGCATGCTTTTAGTGTCCGTGTGATGAACCACGGTCACGCCGGCTCACATAAATAGTCGCCGTAAACAGATCACGAGGGAAAAGGCCGTCCCGTGCGCGACGCCAGACAACGGGATCACGCCTTCCGTTCCGTCCCACGCGCAAATTCGATGGCGGTGCCGTAGGACGACGGTCGTTAGTACGGAGATGATGACATACTCATTCAGCCCTACACTCCTCGGGTGACTGGTCAAAGTAACGAACAACGGTCCGCATTAGAATTTACTACCATTTACGTGCCCAACGCCGCCAGCTGGGACGACTGGGCGCATGATGGCCATAATGCCGGGTCGCATGCGGCGTGCATTGACTCGGCTGCTCGCCTGCCTGCACGGTCAGCCGTTCGTCCCTGTAGTTCTTAAACAGATCGATGGGCACTCTGCGCGACAGCAACGGATCACGCCTTCCGTTCCGTCCCACGCGCAAATTCATGGCGGTGTATTATTCGTAGTTTACGCATACTCATGCCCTAGCTGGGAAAACTGGGAAATAGGGTTTCACGCACGCGTGCAACCTTGTCGCCTCGCCTACGGCAGCAGTTCGTCCCTGTGTTCTTCCCATGCATCGATGGGCACTCTGCTCAGTAGATCTGGAGCTTGTTGAGATCTATCGATGTCAGTAATTTGGACCAGTGGCGGACCTAGGATTTGGCAAGACTAGGACTAAATCTTAGTGGCCAAAAATCCAAAGCTACAGAGACCATATATGTCACAGAAAATAATTATTCTCAAGCAAAGTTTGCAAGAAAAATTCTTCAACTATACAATTAATAGCTAAGAAATATCATAGAACATTGAAAAATAAATACCTAGTGTCTAGTGACGCTCCTAATTTGGTGCATTCGCATCGCCCACTTCTTTGCCCTCAATAACAACTCCTAATAAAAAAAGGAGCAAGCAAAAAGGTTAATAAGAAAATAAGCAAGTAAATGTTAATAAGAAAAGGAGCAATTTATGTAACATACTAGGTAACTTCTTTTGGGTTTTCAATTCTTGAAAATGTCGTAAGATGTCATTATTTTGGATGGTTGCAAACACAGCTCGCTCAACATAACATACCATCCTATGATTCAACCACTCATCCGCCATTTTATTTCGAGACTCAGTCTTGATAATCTTCATAGCTGAGAAAATCCTTTCTACTGTGGCGGTTGCAACAGGTAAAATCAAGGCCAACTCAATGAGGCGATAAACCAATGGAAAGGTTGTGTGTCTTTCAGTTTGAACCATCTTTATAGCAAGTTCACCAAGGTCAGTATAATTTGCAAAGGAATGATCAGCTCTCACATCACTAATGAAGTTATCAAGTTGTTACAGAAGCAGATCATGATCATATTGGGAGAAATCAACATCATAAATCTGAGCAAATTCAATTAGTTTCTCACGGTCATAGTTGGCAAAGAAATTCCGTGGATCTAAACATGTAATGCATCTCAATAATTGGGTAGACCTTTCAGCAAACCGATTATTTAATTCAACAATAACTTGGTCATGCACCACATTGAAGATCTCATTTTTGAAGTGATGGTAGTAGGTTACCTGCTTCCCTCCACGGCCCCTTGAACGACCTCGAACAATTACGTTCTCCTCCATATTTGGGACAATGATGTGATGGATTGCACAGAACTCCGTTACCTCCTCAAACAGCTCATCCCAACCATGCTGCCTTACATCATTAATTTTATGCAATGTGATCCCAACCAACCCAATAGGCCGAACAATATTCTGATCTTTTCTTTGCAAACATTGTGATAAATCATTTGTTATGCCCAATAATCTTATCTTAAGATGCAATATAAACACAAACTCAAAATTCTCCATTTGTAACAGCAAGCCTGAAGTGTTGTTCTCTTATCTCCAACACCATCTTCAACAATATTTTTAATACCTCTAAGACTGAATTCCACATATGGAAAAGGCGACACAAGGTTTTGTGATGAGAACCCCATCTTGTATCACCTGCCCTTGCAAGGCTAGTTTCTTGATTTTTCCCTCTACCACTGAAAATTTGACAATTTTTCAATTGATTTACAATATTGTCATGGTGGTTTTGGGCCAACTGATCTCTTCTCTTACAAGAAACATTGACAGTGTTGACAATCAAAGAGGTGATGTTAAAGAAATCAAATACTGAACCACAACACTATGCTACTGAGACAACTACTAATTGCAATTGATGTGCAAAGCAATGTATATAAAAAGCATATGGATTCTCGTCTAGTATCCATCTTTGCAGCCCATGAAATTGTCCTCTCATATTAGATGCCCCATCATACCCTTGCCCACGGACTCTAGACATAGACAAACCATGACGAGCAAACATACAATCACATAGAGCAACAAAATCAGCAATGAAGTTCAAACAAGAATTCAACAACAACAACAAAATACAGATCTCATTACCTCAATACAACAACCATTTGTTCCTTGATTGATGCATCCCGTGCCTCATCAACAAGAACAACAAACTTCCTATCCTCAATTTCAACAACAATTGCTCTGGTGGTTTGTTCTGCACAAGCTTTGCACAAGTCTTTTTGAACTTTAGGAGAAGTTATTTTGTTGTTCTTAGCAGCACTAGCAAGTAACCTTGCAGCTTTTGCATCTTTCCCCTTATACCAGTTTAGCATTTCTAAAAAATTCCCCTTGTTGCTTGAGTGAGATGACTCATCATGTCCACGAAAAGCATGTGCTTGCAATAGAAGAAATTTTACAACTCCCAATATAATGAGTAATCGACCTCTATATTCTTCTTCTTCCTTTTGACTTCCCCTAGAAATTACATGTGATACACTTTGTCTCTGATTTTTGTAACACTCATAGTCCTTTCTTGCCTTATTGTGAAGCACATAATTAGCATGATCATCAAATAATTTTGGTCCATCTTTCCAATTAGTAAACCCATTTGTTGTGAAGGATTCAACACCAAAGTTATCAACTCTCAATGGTTTAAATAGATAACAATAGAAGCAAAAGGCAGCATCCTTAGAGACACTATATTCCAACCAAGTATGATTTGTGAACCATGTATCATGAAAACTCCTATTGTGACCATATATTTTCCTTTTGGGATATGCATGACCTTTTGGTTGACATGGACCTAACAAGACATACTCTCTTTTTGCATCATCCCTAATGTTTGGATGCATTTCCTCAATTGGTTTTCGACAACCTGGATCTACAATAATATCTTGAGGATTAAGGACGTGATTGGAACCGCCCTCCTCCTCCTCCACAAAATCAATATTTTCATTTCTAGTTTGTTCTACTACAGGCAAACTAGTTGTAGCTGTTCTTACTTCCTCAGGTTGGTTCTGTGCTTGTGCAGCACTAGCTCTAGTCCCAATTGTCTCATGTTCTGTACCTTGAGATTGCGGTGGAGGAGCTTGAGATTGCTGTTGTTGTTCGACAGCACCCTGTTGCTTAGGAACTCGAGAGAAATATGAAACTAAAGTCCTGGTCCTCTTCATCTTGTATACTATAATGAGAAATTAGAATCAAATGATTGAAATTGGAAACTTGGAAATTAGAAATTTAAAATTAAATCAGTTTCAGTCTGTTGGCCTTTGCCATTTCAGTAGCAACCCGAATGTACTGGCAATTCGCTGTATACATGTTACTAAGATAGAGTACTAATATGGCAAGACTAACCTTCATCCACAATCTATGCGGAGGTTGATGATAAACCTTGTTTTTAGTTGCCATATTTCTTCGAATTTTATAGTTTTGCGACAAGGACTTAATCTGTACTTTTGTGTTCTACTTACTATTACTATGCCAGGCATTGAATCCCAATTTTGTAAATGCTAGTTGAAACGAACAAATGATTTACGCTGACATTTGATGAACGCATAAGTATTCAAATGTTCTAT